CACAAGTTATTTTTTCTATTTAGAAAATAAGCCAAAAACATCAATAATTACTTGAATATTGTTAATTCAATAATAATAATAAATTTTTTTTAAATGAATTGAAAGAGATTAAACTTTTATGACGGTATGTGGACGGTATGTGTTTTATAAGGTTATATCCTTAAATTGGGTAAAATTTGTTTGTGAGGTGATATATTCAAGTGTGTACAAAAAGCGGGTAAAAGTTTAAAATTTACTAATACTAATACTGATACTAATAGCTTTGCATGTCTGGCCGGAGTCTTGTTGAGATTGTGTTACGCATTGAAATTATCCAATCAAATTGGTATTTTCGATTCTAAACTTGTGCTGGGCACTGATAATAATAATAATTATAACAATAATAATATAATAATAATAATAGTTATGAAATCAAAGAATCGCTCTGTACGGCAATTAAAGGTTAAAAAAAAGTTTCAATCTTAAATAATTCATCATAAAGGAAATTTCTACTTATCATTCATTTTCTCAACTTGCTAGAATTCCTTTCTTTTATAGCATGTATGGCATCTACGACCTCCATAATTTCTACGACTTTTATAGTATTTGTAGTATTGAAAGCATAAAAAATAATTAACTTTCCAGCTAGAGACACCATTTCCTATTTTCATGTAATGACATATTTGTAACATATATTTAGCAAAAATGCATGTCAATCATAAACGACATTTTATTATTTTCACACAAATAATAATTTTTAGGGGAAAAAAAAGTCGTGTCTTTTGTTTTTTATTTTGTTTTTTTTTTTCAAAAAAAATTTTTTAGGAAAACTAATCATCGTCGTGATATTATTAATAACAATACAGATATCAATATTTAGTTTAGTAATAAAAGTGAACCCGTTTTTATAATTATTCTTCAACACATCACTATCATTATTCATTTAAAAATTAAAAAGTATTTTACATAAATATATATATATATATACATATATTTAAAATCAAATATAAATGTCTCTTAATGAACAACAAGCGAAAAAACTGGTGAATGACATTTTATTATTATTAAAGGATTTTAAATATTAATGATTTGGTAGATTTGGTAATAAACTATACATACATATTAATATTAATAAATAAATTTTAAAATTTTTAGGCGGTTAGTTTACAAGGTGCTGCCACTTGTTTATTAACGGCTGCTCGTACACTAACGGCTAATAATGACAGTCATTTAGAAAATGAAAAAGAAGAGCAACGTGAATTAGATTTACTTCGAGAGTTTAATTCAGGTGATCTTAAAAGTTTTCTACTTCGATATGTTGAGACACTCGTTGAAAATGATGTGATATTCAAAAATTATGAAAATATCAATATAAATAGTAATAGTAGTAGTAGTAAAGGAGCAAAAAAAGACAAGAATCAACATCAAAATGATGCTAAAGATTTTGTCTTGGGATATTTTAATTCACTTATTGAAAATGATCTTATGTTAAAATCATTTTTGAAACCGGGAGCTTTAGATCCAAAGAGACTTGCCACCGCTAAATCATCAGCAACAACAAGTGGTAAAAAGAAAAGTAAAGTAAATGTGAATTCTTTAGAAAATGATGCACTCACAGAAATTGAAGAATTAACTAAACCGATATCAAATAATATCAACAATAAAAACAGCAATAATGATAGCAACAGCAATAGTAAGAACAAGAGCAAGAGTGACCCCAATGCTGAAAATGATCCCAAGAAAAAACGCAACAGAATAAAAAAACCTGTTGAAAAGTCAAAGGCTTCTATAAAGTTCCTTTTATTCACTTATGACCCTTGTTTGTTTTTATATGCCAAGTTTGTACTATTTACAAAACAACTTAAGTAGCTTGTTTAACAGCCTTATATTTACAATTACAAATAATACTACCAGTATTCCAATTAAACTTTGGACAATACTTCATTAACCGTCGTCGCCAACACTCACTAGTTAACCAATGTTAATCCAAACTTTGTTTATTCTCTAAAGAAAATAATAAAACGTGACCTTTTACCAAGGAATTACACTTGAACTGTTCAATTTCTACTTTATTTTCTTGATATCGTGCTTCCCAAAAAATTTATGTTTTAATAAAAAATCTTTCCCGTATATATTCAGAATCGAAAACGTATCTTTTCAGTATTAGTATGTTGCAAATTCCGTATCCATTCCGTACCTTATATGCAGAATCAAAAACGTATCTATTCAGATTCCATACCTTATACCTTATACGCGAAATCGAAAACGTACTAGTACCTTTTTATTTTCAAATTTCATTCCTATTCTGTACTTTATACGCGTAATTAAAACGTACATTTCAGTATTTTACAAGTTCCGTGCCTATTCCGTACCTTATACGTGGAATTGATACCTTTTCAGTACGTTACAAACTTCGTATTGATTCCGTACTAATATCCGTTCGTACTTTACACTAAATTTGATATTTGAAAAGGGGCAATTTTTCAAAATTGTATATTAATAAGAAATATGTTAATCCCGTGTATATTAAGAACGTATTTAACGCACGTTAATTTCATATTTTATTTTTCATGAGGTTACCTGACAACATTTCATGAGAACAAGAGCAAGAGTGACCCCAATGCTGAAAATGATCCCAAGAAAAAACGCAACATAATAAAAAAACCTGTTGATCCAAATGCGCCAAAAAAACCCGCTAGTGCATTCCTCCTTTACCAAAAAGATGTTCAAGAACAAATACGAAAAGAATTTCCTGAAACTAAATGGAACGACGTTTTGCGTATTATTAGTCAACGATGGCAAAATCTTTCAAATGATGAAAAAAAGGTTGTTAATAATAATTATATAATCATATATATATCATATTCATATATCAATAAATTTAATAAATAAAAATTAACTCGATAAAAACTATATTATAATTACAATTAATATTAGATATACGAAACCAAATTTCAACAAGCAAGACAAATCTTTGAGGCGGAATATAAAACTTATATGGAAAATAAAGATAATTTACCACCGGCTACGTCAGGGGTCATTGAAGAAGGTAAAGAAGTTGCTTCAAGTTCCAAAAATTTAGGAAAAAAAGCTATAAACGAATTACAAGATTATACTGATGAAGAAGATGAACAAGAATCAGATAATGATGGTGATGGTAATGATGATGGAAAAGATGACATCCATAACGACGATGATGATGATGATGATGACGAGGAGGAGAATGGTGACTGGGGAAATAAATCTGATGATACAGTTAATGAAGAAGAATCTTCAAGAACGGCAAATAAGTTATCAAGCCGAAAAACAAAATCTCACGAATATTATGCAAATTCTAAAGCACAAAATAATAGCAGTGATGCTGGTATTAATAGTAGTGGTAGCAGTAGCAGTACATCGAAGAAACGTAAAGATGTTGTAGACGATAGCGAGGACAATTCTACAAGTCCTATTAAAAAGTCAAAGAAGGAAAAGAATAGTTTTTCAAATGATGATGAGAATGATGACGATGATAATATTTTTGAGCAAGCAATAAATAAGAAATCTCATCATTCCATGGTAAAACAAGAGGATGAAGATGAAGATTCTGTTTATAATTCTTCAAATAGACAAAGTAACAAAGATCAAAGTAATAGTGAGAATTTACATAGGTTATCAAAAGATAAATCTAAAGATAAAAAAAAAAAGAAACCAAAAGATAAAACAACGATAAAATCCATAAATTAAAATAAATGGAAATAAAAGCGCAATTGAGACTGGAATTATATAAAGATATGGAATTTTTTTTTAATGGAATTATTATCAATATTAGTATAATTTTTTTTGTGTTGGCGAAGTGATACAATTTTTCAACAATTTATTTCCTTCGTATTTTTAATGTAGTGGGAGAAATTAGTAGTAGATTTAAAATCTTGATATTATAATATATAAGCACAACATATTCTGTTTCTTTTATTTAGGATAAAAAAAATTTATAGAATTTTCTTGTATATATTGCATACATGTCTGGATTGTTTTTCATTTTATTTCAAAATTATATATTTTACTCTTTCTTTTTATTATGATTAATATAATACATGCTAAATTATAAATCATATTTTTATCTTTCTTTATAATGTGTATGTATGTTGTTGTTTGGACTTGCTAATTAATTAATTATTCAATAAATTTAATAAATTTTAATTTTCAAAAAATACATAAAAAAGATAAAAAGAAACGAACGAATAAATTATTATTATTATAAATAAATAAAAAAGTACATATTATATAATAGCAATAATTGATTATATAATTGTCCTTTGGTTATTGTTATTATTGATAGAAACTAAGCTAAATATCTAATTGTGGATGGGTCAACAGGATCTCTCTTCAAATACTCACGATTAATCAATGATTCAATTCTTTTCTTGATATCGGGAAGCTGCATCAATCAAAAAATATATATATTAATTAATCAATTTAAATTTGTTATTAAAATAGTCAAAACAATTATCATTGCTATTTGTTTTGTTTACCATAGCTTTAAATTTCAATTGACTTAATAATTCAGTAATAATTTCACTGTAAGTCAATGATTTTCTCATTTTCATTATACGAACTAATGCAGCATCAACTTGATATTGACGATCAAGAAATACACGTTCCGTTGTATCTTTAGCTTCTTCCAACTATAAATTTATTTGATAATGAAAAGAAAAAAAACAACTATTTAATTGTAATGCTGATGTATATATATATAAATATTAATGAATAAGTTGATTGATTGATAAACAACCGTTTCTTTCAATTGGATCGAATTGATCTTGACACGATAATATTGAACATCAAATTTTTCATTAATAACAAATTCGTCCGTTTTATTGACATCTCTTCCTTTTGGAAATTTGGCGAGAACTCGTATTTTCCCGCATGCTAATGATTGAAGCGTAAGTGTAAGATCTTTATCCTCTATTATTAATTGATTAATAGAGAATTAATTCATGTATAAGATTAATTAATTTACTGTAAAAATTTTTTATTTACTAACCCAATCCTGTAATTGCTTTTATTTCTTCATAGGTTACTCGTTGTGATACATCTTCATAATTATTATAAATTAATAATATCACTGCTTGGTATAAACTTACCACTAATTCTTTATTTGACTATATTATACAAATGTAGACATATATTAATTAATTAATGTATTTATCTATTGATTAGTAATACAAATAAATTAGTCAAAGGTAGAAAATCGACAGCATACTATTGGAAAATTTGCAGATATTATACAATGTCCTAATGAATTTTGCCATTTTAAATTTCTACCGCTATGTTTACTCAAGTAAAAATCCTTAAAATTTTCTTGACATTTTGTCATCTATATAAAAATAATTACATGTGTGTTATATATGTGCAAATGTAAATATATTATTACTTTTTCTTTAAAAAAAAAAAATACGATAACTTACATATGGTGGCAAATTACATGGATTAGGGGCATAAGTAGGCCAAAACCCTTGTGTTAGGATATTAACAGAAAAATCAATTTTATATTTTTTCATTTCTTCAAATGCTTTTGAGTCCTAATATTAATAATATATATTTACATTCATATACATGGAGAGAATAAGCGATTAATTCATAATGAATAAGTTCAGACAGTAATAATAAGAATTATTAGTTAATTAGTTATACTTGCTTGAAAAGAGCGCATGAAATCACGAGATAAATCTATATCTTTAAACATTCCCTCAAGTTTACCAGTAAATCCAGGTCCACATTCTATATGTAATTTATAAAGTTCAATTAATATATAATATATTTATATATAAATATTTATACACATAAAACCAACCTTTCCTTAGTTTAGTTAGCATGCTTTTTTCATAATCAAATGACGCACTTTTGTTTAGTAAAAGCCTTTTGGCAAGATCGCGTTTATAAAATGCTTCGAATATATCTTTACCTAAAACAATACAAATATACTAATTATAGAAAATACACATTTATTTACATTTTTACCTAAAAATTTTACCTTGAATATAACGAAACAAAATCAACACTTCGTTTAACATATGTTCCATTTCTTTATCATTCATACTCTTATTTCCTTGACGTAATTTCTGATCCACATATTTAGCTACCAATTAATTAATTAATTAATTTTGTGAATTAGCCAAAGAATTAAAAAATTTTATATAACTCACCAATTAATTCGGCAGGTTTATTTTGTCGTTGATTAATAAACAGTTCAAAACTTTCTTTCACAGTATGAACAAAGTTAGAATTATTTTGGAATGGACCATTAACAATCGAGTCCATTCTTGCTTTTAATTTTAACAATTCTGGTACCATATCTAATTCATTATTAGTATCATTAACTATTTGTTTACCAATTTCCTGAAAATTTTGAAGTTTGTGAGGATTAAAAATTATGCTGAAGATCAACTTGGATATCGAAGACCAATTTTTACCTTTATATAAGAACCAAAATGCGATCGTATTTTATCGAGAGCATTGACTCTTAAAAAGAGACCATACAATATTTTTAATTCTTCAATATGAAAATCAATATCATCAGTGTCAACCATATTAATAAATCCTACGTTATATTTTTAAATCAAAAAAATACATACTGATGTTAATATAATATTTTTCCCTTGCTAAAATTAAAAAAAATTAAGCAACCTTTATCTAATATAGTATCAACGTGTTTCATTATTAATTCTTCGTCAATAACTTTTAGTAAAGGATCCGTTGTTTTCTTATCCAAATATTCAGCAGCTCTTGCACTCTCAATTGATAACCGGTTTGAAACATGAGTTAAGTATTGTGGTATAGAAAATTCGCTGACCAGACGTTGGCCTTCAATCATAAAATAGCTTCGTGTCTCTTCCAAAAATGGATTTTCAAATCCGTGATGGTATATGTTAAGATCAATGAACATCCTAATTAATGATTTAATTAGTGCATGGTCAATTACATCTCCATCCCTGTACATAAATTCAGAGAGTATATGAGTTGTGTATATATAAAAATAGAAATTAATAATAAATATATAGATAAATACAGAAAAAAACGTACCTTTCTTGCTTGATGAGTGATAATATTCCATTTAGAGCCTTGTTACGTATATTAGATGCTATCATAATATGTTTTCTAAATAATTCCAAACCCAAATCCCTAAATTTTATTAATTACAATAGACTATATATTTAAATGTATATATATTCACACACACATTTATATTTATATTTATACGTGTGATAATAATATATATATAATTATGTAGATTGTATAAACAGTATATTACCATATTGATAAAATCCCACCAGTTTGGAGTACATATGTACGATCAAGATATAAAAAGATACTTCTAATTAATACCTATAATGTACATGCTATTAGATTACTATTAAATCAATATTTTTTTTTTGAAATCTCAAAATAAAATAATATTCGTTACTATATTATTAATATTACCATATATTTACAATGTTCTTTCCAACTTTTATCAATTGATCTGAGAAAACTGATCTCACCGATTTGATTACTACAAAAACAAATTAAAAAAAATCAACCAATAAATTATACCACCACAATATATTGACCCCACGAACATACTTTTGAATTTTTTTACCCTCTAACAAAATATGTTTTTCAAGTTCAATACGTAATCTTTGATAAAGAGATTTAGATAATTTGTGTAAACAAAGATTTTCACATGCTTTATAAAGCTCTTCAAGACCAGCATTCACCGATTTAGAACTATAAATTGCTTGAATCGCACTTGCAAGTTTTGCCCACGTTTTCTCCTCATAATCTGCAGGTAATGATGATTTTACTATTTATTTATTATTGGAGGGTGATATAATGAGAAAAGGAATCAAATATGTTAATAATTATAATTTATCGGGTTGATCACAATCAATCGTAATACCTTTAAGTGGTTTAATAACCAATTTTTTAACAGGAGCTTTAGCATTATTATTGATATTTTGTTGAGAATAAGCAGATTTATGTGTGAGGTCTGAATGTGAAGGAAAAATAAAATCTTTTCCATGTTTAGCAAAATTATAATTAATTGGTATTAATTTTTCTTCGGTTTCTGCTGAATCATTTATTTCATACGGAATTGGAAAATTAGAGATTGAACCATGTTGTTGTTCTTTTTCCTCTTTTAAATCTAATTTAATACGTTTTGAAGTGACTTCATCATCAAACAAACTTGATCCTGGAAACATTTGAATTTTATTTTTTTGGTAATACAACACAATTTTGGGATAGCAGATTTTTTTTTAAAAAAAATAAAAAAAATATAAATTTTTTTTTTTATAAATATTGGAGATTCAAAATCACATACACAAACAAAATCAACATCAATTACATTAATCATTAGTAGATATGGCATTTTTTGGAGCTCGTAGTTGGCCCACGCCAATAGTAAGACCATTAGCACCTTTTCTTGCAAGTGGGGCAATTATCTTTTATGCTGTATTTAAACTTGAAACCAAATTACAACAAGGTGATTAGATTATTTTGTTTGCTAATAAAGGAAGACGATGATGTTAGTGGTGAGGATGATTGAATATTATTTATATACTTATTAATGATTGTTTATATGTTTAGAACCTCCATATGATACTGATGTTCGAAATCCTAGAGGTAAGAAGTTTCTTCAATTAAAAATTACAATTTTCTATAACTTGCTTTAATTTTAATGCTATTTATTTATAATCTAGCTGAAATAAATCAAAAAATTAAAGAGAGTCACCATTAAACGTTGCGTTGGTAGAATGTTAGAACGTAGGAGACAACAAAATAAAACATATATATAAATTAATTTTATTAACTTTTTTCATGAAAATAAATCTTTTTTATTTTTGAATAATTTCTTTTTTGTACTAATTGTTTCCAATCATTCTTATATTTATGAAATAAAAACATGCAAGTTTGAGCATCTTGAATCAATAATTAGAGAAGGGAACGTTCATAGGAAAAAATACCCTATATAAGTTTTAATAAATAAATGTTATATTTACAATTGATTTTTATAGAAAATCCCTGTTTGTACATAGCATTAGTATCTTTATAATATATATGTATAGAACGAATGTTTTCCAATTCTGCTTCTGCCAAATTTTTTTAAAGAATAATTACAAATGGCATATATTTTGAAGTGTCCGTAGATCATCCAAGCAGTATGGCAGTATGACACGTAGTAGCAATAATTGTGCATGCATGAATATATACGTGGGAAGGTGAACCCGAAAACGGGATATGTAAACTAAATATTCATTTATTTTTTACAAGTATATCTTTTAGATCATTATGGATGACATGCCAACAATAACCCTATAGACATCTTTCTACTTGATGAAAATTAATTGTAACTCTGGGGCAAGTGCCTATTTTGTTCAAGATTTAAATGGGCCGATTTTTTATTTCCTAATTTGGAAAAGTTTTATCTAAAAAATTTTGCTCTATGAATTGCTTTTTTGAAAAATTGCTCGGGTATTAATTAATTAATTATTTATTTAATTATTTATTTATCGACGTTATTATGTATGAGTTGTATATGGGATTGTATACTTTTAAAGTTTATTATGACTGGCTTGGAAAAAAATAAGTGTAAGAAGGTAAGAAATGGTTTATTTTATGAAATTCATTCCCTTTGATTTATTTAAAAAAAAAAATACAATAATTTCTCAAGAAAAATTTAAAAAATGTCAGAAATTGACGATAATTCTGTTGCAACTGATGATTACAACCATGGAGAAACAACATCAACGAAGTCTGTTAATTATCATCATGGGCAAAGATATACTCTGAAACTTAGTGAGAAACAAACCAAAGTTCTAAAGGCGATTTGTGGTACTTTGATAGGATGTCTTGATGATTCTGAAATAGATTCATTATGTTTTAACACTGAAAACTCGACACCACCCTCCACCTCTGCCACCACTAAAAGATATTCTATTAATACTAGTGCTATGATGATGTTAAAAAATTCAGAAAAAATACGTGAATTTGCTAAATTTGATTTATCAAATTCAGATGAATTTATTGAACGTGTTCTAGATCGTTTATCAAAATGTTTAACAGTTGAAAAATTAGCGCACATCAGTGGAGTGTTGAAAAAACTTGGATCTAAAGGTTTTATAAATGCTCAGATTGCCAATTATAACAAACCATTTTATGGACTCACAAAGAAACAGCAAGAACAAGTTATTTTGAAATGGAGTACACACTCGACAGCTTCTACCAGAGAACTTTTCAGGACATTTACATTTTTCATTTGTTCTACATTTTGGTTAGATCCATATGGATTCAATTCTCTAATCGGTTATCCTGGTCCAGATCCTGAAGCAAACTCTTCACGGTTTACTTCACGTCAATTTTCCACTTTCGAATTTCTTAAAATCAATAACAACGATGGTATTGTTATCAACACTTGTGGCGAGAGTAGCACCAATACACAAAATAAACCAAAAAAAGATCAAATTGACCAAGGAATTGAAGCTGATGGAACGAATGGAAAGAAATTGGAAGAGGAAGATTTGAATTATGATGTTGTGGTGGTAGGATCTGGTGCTGGTGGTAGTGTTATTGCTGCACAATTGGCAAAAGAGGGTTATAGTGTACTTGTAATGGAAAAAGGTCATCATGTGCCACAGAGTGAGTTGACCTTGAAACAAAGTAATTCTTATGAAGCTCTATATGAAATGGGTGGTGGAATGTTGTCAGAAGATGGTGGTGTAATTATTAGTGCTGGTTCTAATTTTGGTGGTGGTACTACTATTGGTTGGTCTGCTGCATCCGAAGTAATATCCATTTTTTTGATTTTTTATTTTTTGAGAGGGAGGGAAATTTTTAATAATGATTATAATATATATTTTCTACATCTCTTTCTCTAAATAACTATATAGCCGCAGCATTTTGTTCGTGAAGAATGGGCTAAAAAATACGGACTATATTATATATTAGAGAAAGAGTATAGTGATTCGATGAAAGCAGTGAGTGGTAGATTAGGCGTGTCAACTAATAATATAGTTCACAATAAAAGTAACAATATATTGATTGAAGGATGCAAAAAACTTGGTTTACAAGTTGATACAATACCTCAATGTACCGCATCAAGATTTCACTCATGTGGTTGGTGTGGATTTGGATGTAAATATGGCGAGAAACAAAGCGCAGTGATGACTTGGTTATTGGATGCAAAGAATTCGGAAGCGAAGTTTCTTGAAGATTGTTATGTCGAAAAGATTTTAATTGATAAGAAGACGCAAAAAGCTGTTGGAGTCGAGGCAATTATTATCAAACAACAACGTAAATTCAAAGTTAAAGCAAAAAGAGTTGTATTAGCTTGTGGGGCTATTCATACGCCTGCTTTGATGTTAAGAAGTGGATTGAAAAATAAAAATATTGGTAAAAATTTACATGTTCAACCCACTGCTGGTGTATATGGTGTATTTCCTGATAAACAAATTGATACTTATTCTGGCTCAATAATGACTGCGGTAAATTTTTTTGAAAAATTCTTTTAAATATATATATGTGTGTATATATGTCAATTAAATTTTTAATTTCTGTAGGTATCAAATTTTACAGAAAATGTAGATGGTAATCATTATGGATCAAAAATAGTTGTAGGATCTCATCATCCTGCATCTATGGCTGCCAATTTTCCATGGAATTCTACATTTAAACATAAACAATTTATGTTGGAATACACACACATTTCACCGCTACTTGTTATAACACGTGACAGAGATGCGGGAAGAATTGTGATTGATTCACGTGGACAACCAAAGCTTTATTATAAGGTCAGTCAGCATGATTCCAAAAGTGCCGTGGCTGGTATTATTGCCAGCCTTAAGATACTTGTTGCAGCTGGAGCAAAAAGAGTTGGAACATGCCAAGCCGGATTAGAAGAATTTGAAGTTAGTGATGATGTGAATCCGTTGAATGATGTTAAATTTCAATGCTATCTTGATAAAGTTAAAAAAATTGGTGCTCCATCAAATCAAATTTTACTTGGAAGCATGCATCAAATGGGAACTTGGTAAGAAAGAGAATGTACATGTGAGAGAGAGTTTGTGTGCACATTTGTTTTTGTGGGTATGTAACATTTATTTATTATTTTTAATAGTTGTATGGGAGATGATCCGATCAAATCAGTTGTGAATCCGACTGGAGAAACATGGGAAGTCGAAAATCTTTTTGTGGCTGATTCCAGTATATTTCCAACTGCTATAGGGGTTGACCCAATGATAACAATTATGAGTTTTGCATACATGATTGCAAAAGCAATTTCTGATAAAGATGCAGATGCAGATGCCAAAAAGGTAATTTTTAATTTGTTTGTTAATAGTAATTATAGCCTTCAGTTGGAAAAGGATACCAACATATTTTATTTGTAAATTATAGAGACGAAGTTCTATAAGATGGTCTATGAATGATGTTCCTAAACGAAAGCTGAACAGATTATCATTAGGAAATCCACTTTCCAACAGTTTTAATGGCTCATTCAATTTACTCAATCGTAGAAAAGGGGCAGAATAATTAGAATAATTGGAGATGTATCACAACGAGTAACCTATGAAGAAATAAAAGCAATTACAGGATTGGGTTAGTAAATAAAAAATTTTTACAGTAAATTAATTAATCTTATACATGAATTAATTCTCTATTAATCAATTAATAATAGAGGATAAAGATCTTACACTTACGCTTCAATCATTAGCATGCGGGAAAATACGAGTTCTCGCCAAATTTCCAAAAGGAAGAGATGTCAATAAAACGGACGAATTTGTTATTAATGAAAAATTTGATGTTCAATATTATCGTGTCAAGATCAATTCGATCCAATTGAAAGAAACGGTTGTTTATCAATCAATCAACTTATTCATTAATATTTATATATATATACATCAGCATTACAATTAAATAGTTGTTTTTTTTCTTTTCATTATCAAATAAATTTATAGTTGGAAGAAGCTAAAGATACAACGGAACGTGTATTTCTTGATCGTCAATATCAAGTTGATGCTGCATTAGTTCGTATAATGAAAATGAGAAAATCATTGACTTACAGTGAAATTATTACTGAATTATTAAGTCAATTGAAATTTAAAGCTATGGTAAACAAAACAAATAGCAATGATAATTGTTTTGACTATTTTAATAACAAATTTAAATTGATTAATTAATATATATATTTTTTGATTGATGCAGCTTCCCGATATCAAGAAAAGAATTGAATCATTGATTAATCGTGAGTATTTGAAGAGAGATCCTGTTGACCCATCCACAATTAGATATTTAGCTTAGTTTCTATCAATAATAACAATAACCAAAGGACAATTATATAATCAATTATTGCTATTATATAATATGTACTTTTTTATTTATTTATAATAATAATAATTTATTCGTTCGTTTCTTTTTATCTTTTTTATGTATTTTTTGAAAATTAAAATTTATTAAATTTATTGAATAATTAATTAATTAGCAAGTCCAAACAACAACATACATACACATTATAAAGAAAGATAAAAATATGATTTATAATTTAGCATGTATTATATTAATCATAATAAAAAGAAAGAGTAAAATATATAATTTTGAAATAAAATGAAAAACAATCCAGACATGTATGCAATATATACAAGAAAATTCTATAAATTTTTTTTATCCTAAATAAAAGAAACAGAATATGTTGTGCTTATATATTATAATATCAAGATTTTAAATCTACTACTAATTTCTCCCACTACATTAAAAATACGAAGGAAATAAATTGTTGAAAAATTGTATCACTTCGCCAACACAAAAAAAATTATACTAATATTGATAATAATTCCATTAAAAAAAAATTCCATATCTTTATATAATTCCAGTCTCAATTGCGCTTTTATTTCCATTTATTTTAATTTATGGATTTTATCGTTGTTTTATCTTTTGGTTTCTTTTTTTTTTTATCTTTAGATTTATCTTTTGATAACCTATGTAAATTCTCACTATTACTTTGATCTTTGTTACTTTGTCTATTTGAAGAATTATAAACAGAATCTTCATCTTCATCCTCTTGTTTTACCATGGAATGATGAGATTTCTTATTTATTGCTTGCTCAAAAATATTATCATCGTCATCATTCTCATCATCATTTGAAAAACTATTCTTTTCCTTCTTTGACTTTTTAATAGGACTTGTAGAATTGTCCTCGCTATCGTCTACAACATCTTTACGTTTCTTCGATGTACTGCTACTGCTACCACTACTATTAATACCAGCATCACTGCTATTATTTTGTGCTTTAGAATTTGCATAATATTCGTGAGATTTTGTTTTTCGGCTTGATAACTTATTTGCCGTTCTTGAAGATTCTTCTTCATTAACTGTATCATCAGATTTATTTCCCCAGTCACCATTCTCCTCCTCGTCATCATCATCATCATCATCGTCGTTATGGATGTCATCTTTTCCATCATCATTACCATCACCATCATTATCTGATTCTTGTTCATCTTCTTCATCAGTATAATCTTGTAATTCGTTTATAGCTTTTTTTCCTAAATTTTTGGAACTTGAAGCAACTTCTTTACCTTCTTCAATGACCCCTGACGTAGCCGGTGGTAAATTATCTTTATTTTCCATATAAGTTTTATATTCCGCCTCAAAGATTTGTCTTGCTTGTTGAAATTTGGTTTCGTATATCTAATATTAATTGTAATTATAATATAGTTTTTATCGAGTTAATTTTTATTTATTAAATTTATTGATATATGAATATGATATATATATGATTATATAATTATTATTAACAACCTTTTTTTCATCATTTGAAAGATTTTGCCATCGTTGACTAATAATACGCAAAACGTCGTTCCATTTAGTTTCAGGAAATTCTTTTCGTATTTGTTCTTGAACATCTTTTTGGTAAAGGAGGAATGCACTAGCGGGTTTTTTTGGCGCATTTGGATCAACAGGTTTTTTTATTCTGTTGCGTTTTTTCTTGGGATCATTTTCACACAAATAATAATTTTTAGGGGAAAAAAAAGTCGTGTCTTTTGTTTTTTATTTTGTTTTTTTTTTTCAAAAAAAATTTTTTAGTA